TTTTATGCCTCCTGCTTGGAAGGGAGGCAGCTCCTACATTAGCGGGACTGAATTACCGTGCGTAATCCAGGTCATTATCAAACAATGGTTTTAAAAGAGCAGGGTCGAAAAAAACGTCATGATTTAAATACAAAGCTAACCTCTGGGGTGATGTAAGCAATTTATCTGTTTTCCATTATTATTATTGCTTTTGGTTTTTCTCTTATGCTGGGAGACCAGCTCCGAAGCATTGAATCCGTAACTCAACCACAGTATGAAATACTACGCGGTGGTACCATAAGACTGATCTCTACCTGGTGGGAATCCCACCTCATTTCTGAGTAGTTTTCCTAGGAATTATTAATTCACTTTATTTATTTACTTCTTTGTATATAAGGAGGTTCGACCATGTCATCACATCGATGCTGCAATGGTCATAAGTGTGAAAACGGTCGTAAGTCACTCTTTTCAGGACTATTGTGAGTTCAAACGGTCACTAAATGAATTGTTGTAAGTTGAGGACTACCTGTATCTTTAAAAAGAAAAAAACGGTCCTGTGTAGTATATAATGGCTTAGGCCACCTTCTTCGCTGGATTTTGAATTTCTCCAGAAATTCCTCTTTTTCTTTTTATAATTTTATTTATGATTTTTTTTTCTTTAACATCCAAAATTGCTTGACGAACAATGTATTGTCTGGATCAATATACCTTTTTTGCAAAATGGTAATATTTAATTACCATTTAAATGCAAATTGGCAATATTTAATTATTTAAATGTACATAATCGTAATTTTTCAACTTCTAACATTTGTGTATGCCTTACTAATTATAATACGTTCTATTATATTTCAGGATATATAATACTATTTTCCCAATTTCTACTTTCTACCTCTGTTTTTGAAGAACCACCATGTTAAAAAAAAATCAAAAAAATCTATATCTGTCATCTTTTGCCTTTTATAGAAATGGCTCTTTTTCAATCCCTCTAAAATCCAAGGTAGATTTTTGGATTTAGGAACCAGTTTAGCCAAACAAACCTCCAAGAACTTTTGAAAAGGGCTTTTGATAGTCAAAAAATAACTAAAAAGTGATTACAAGAGGATTTTGGCCACTTTGGTGGAGCTGGAGAACTATTTATAGTCAATTCAGCGTTCAAATTTTCTCTTTTTTCCCTTGCCCAATATCCAGTGTGTTGGACAGCCTTCGTTTTGGGGCTGAAAGCACAGTTTCCATCTGCTTTCGTTATCGTTAACTAGCCAGATACTCCATGCTTCACTACGAAACTATGTGGTCGGGCTTAGTTTCTGGGGAGGAAAATAAGGAGATAAAAATTTTGCCTCTGCCTGCCAGAATCCATCAGTGTTCATCTTGGCTAGCATCCTGTCAGGGGGTGAGAGAGTTGAGGGCTGTTTGGAAACTGAAAGAGTATTTGCTGTGTGAGCGAGAAGGAGACAGCAAGGAGCCTGGGCGTGGCTTAGTTCAACTGTTCTGTACTCAAGCTGCTTGGTGCTGCTGTGAAACTGAAACCGAAATTCCTCTCCTCTGCTTGTGTTTTGTATTCGGAATAGATTTCTTTCCAGGTGGGGAGGGGGAGTAGAACTCCTTAGCATCAGAGCATGTTAATAATAATAATAATATAGGAAATACTCTAAATGTTCTGATGGTCATTTCGAAAAATCCTTTCTTAGTGAGCCCCTAGAAGCCAAGAGGAACAGACATGCCGAATTTCAAGTTTGTAAGCTTTACGGTTCTGGAGATTTTGTGATGATGCGTGAGTGGTATTTCGCTTTTATATATAGAGAGAGATGGACAGATCTGCCATCAAGATTTTTTTTTTTTTAAACTTCTGACAAGTGTGAGAACTTCTCTTCACACTTCAGGATGCTTTTCAAAAGCCATCTCAGGCCCCTGAATTTCATTTTAAAATGTAATTTTATTTTTCAAGCCAAACTATGAAATCTCAGCTGCCTTGTAGGTTGCAAGGAGGTGGGGTGGATGAACTCCTTGGATTTCGGGTCATTTAAGGCCTCCAAAAAGATTGTGTCGCGGCAAATTTCACGGGGTGAAGTGATGTCAAAAGAGACCCCCTGATTCATTTAGTGACTGAAGTTACAACAGCACCGGAAAAAGTGACTTACGACCGTTTTTCACACTTAACAACCATTGCAACATCTCCCCGGTCGCGTGATCAAAATCCAGACGCTTGGCAACTGGCTCATACTTACGACGGTCGCAGTGATTCACTTAACAGTTACGGCAAGGAAGGTCTTAAAATGGGACAACATTCACTTCACAACTGTCTCACTTAGCAACAGAAATTTGGGGGGCTCTGTTGTGGTCGTTAGGCCGAAGCCTGCCTGTATTATTTTTTCACTAGAAGGACATGCTTTGAGGAACACAGCGTTTCCCAAATATAGTAATAAAATAATACGCCTTTTTTTTTTCTTCCCCTCCGAGATGGGATCAACGTTATTGCAACTGAATAAAAATGGAACTTCTGCCATCTTAGTGGATGTGAAAACCCTGAATTGCAAATAGGGCATTAAGCAGTTCTCTTCTTGCACCAGTTTTGGCTGATGAATATACATGAGAGCGCCAACCATCTAAGAAGCCGGGGAATTTGACAGATAACCCAGAAATTCTCTTGCATCTGCTGCCCGTTAATGGCAATAAATGGAAGTTTGTGCGAGAAATGGACACGCAACCAACTTCTTTGCAGATCGAAGATTTTCTCAGCCATCCACAGTGGAGCTGAGCAACATCAATGCCATATGAACTGCTTAGCCTATAAGTCTCATTAGCCAGATTTCTTACAGATTTTTTTTTATTTTTAATTGATGAGCTGTCACTGGGTGACTACGGAGATTCTCAGTCATCCAGGCCATGGAGGATCATGAAAGGCCCGGAGACTAAAACATACGAAGAGCGGTTGCAAGATTTGAGTTTGGCCAGTCAAGAGAAGAGGAGACATGATAGCAATATTCCGGTATTTGAGGGGCTGCCACAAAGAGGAGAGGGTCAAATTATTCCCCCAGGGACCTGAAGGCAGGACAAGAAGCAATGGAATGAATTTCCCCCCTTTTTTTAATTGAGTCCTTTAGAAGAGACTGGACTCTGGGGACTTTCAGATCTGATGGGGGACTGCCACTACTTTAACCCCCAGTCAGCATCTTGCAGGCCTGGAAGACAAACCACATCAAAAAGGAGGAGGAGAATTTTGGCCTTCGGTTATCCTAACATTAAAAATATGGGAAGACTATCCTGAAATGAGAGAAACAAGGAATGGTGCCCAGCCTAATCAAGAAACCACAAAAACACTCTCGCCAACATTGACAGGATAAGCTAATTGTTTATAAACAAAGACCAATCCCACTCCCTTGTTGCACTGATGATGTTACCTAGTTGGGTCATGAAATGTCTGCAAAGAGAGCAACCAAGCTCAGAGAGCACCAAGATCCCCACAGTTCCCTTCCTCTTCCTCCTCCTCCTCCTCCTCCTCCACCTGTACCACTCCCTTCTAGCACTGATGATGTTACCTAGTTGGGTCATGAAATGTCTGCAGGAGAGCAACCAAGCTCAGACAGCACCAAGGACTCCACAGTTCTCCTCCTCTTCCTCCTCCTCCTCCTCCTCCTGCACCACTCCCTTCTAGCACCGATGATGTTACCTAGTTGAGTCATGAAATGTCTGCAGGAGAGCAACCAAGCTCAGACAGCACCAAGGACTCCACAGTTCTCTTCCTCCTCCTCCTCCTCCTCCTCCTCCTCCTCCTCCTCCTCCATCACCACCACCACCACCACTCCCTTCTAGCACTGATGATGTTACCTAGTTGGGTCATGAAATGTCTGCAGGAGAGCAACCAAGCTCAGAGAGCACCAAGGAACCCACAGTTCTCTTCCTCCTCCTCTTCCTCCTCTTCCTGTACCACTCCTTTCTAGCACTGATGATGTTACCTAATTGGGTCATGAAACGTCTGCCAGAGAGCAACCAAGCCTAAGAGAGCCCCAAGGACCCCATGTTTCTACATGAATCCTCAAAAGACGAGAGAAATCAATTGTTTCATCTCTGTTGACATTCTCTTTCCTTTTTTTTTTTCAAGGGGGTTAATGGGTCACTTCCTCACGATCCTTCCAAGAAATAAGTGTTTGATGCCTGAGTGGTACATATATTTTTTTTTGTGCTAATTATAAGAGTCTTCCCTAATCGCTCCCAGGTTCACTAATCCACCTTGGAAGCAAGGGCTAATTGCTCCTTCCTTTCAAGCCAACTTCCTTCCTTCCCAGAAAATGATCCCAACCATATTCTAGAACAGCGGTCGCCAACCCGTGGGGTGGGCACCAATGGTGGTCCGCAAGAAAACTTTGGTGGTCCGCAGAGAAATGTCACCCCCAAAGCAATTAATCCAGGCTGCATGGGAAGACAAGGCTTGCGTCGCATTGCGAACAACATGTAGTGAGGGGAGGGGGGGAAGGGCAGAGGGGGGGGACTTGCCCCACTCACCCCACGCACCTGGCCTGGCCGCCAGGCTGCTCCTTTCGGCTTCTTTCTTCTTCTGCTTTTGGCGGCACGCAAGGAAAACAGCCAAAGTCTTTCTTCCTTTCCCCCAAATATGCCAGAAATGAGTCTTTGGGACTCATTTGCAAGGCCTCCTGCTCCAAGAGGCTGTGCCGGCAAAGACTCGTTTCCTGCGGAGTTTGCGGAGAGAGAAAGAAAGACTTCTGCGGCTTCTGCTGCTTTCCTTGCACGAAGCCAAAAGTCTCTCTCTGTGTATGTCTCTCTCTCTCTCTCTCTCTCTCTCTCCCCCCATGAGAACAGGGCTGGAGACGGTATCCTGCGATCCCAAATCAAGAACGGTAGGAAAACGGGGTGGGGGATTTTCCTGCAGACTTTTTGGGGGGATTTTCCCAGGGTCTCTGGTCCGCGGGATGTATAAATGATAAAAGTTTGGTGGTCCCCGAGGCCCAAAAAGTTGGCGAACCCCGATCTAGATCTCTGATAACCCTCCTATCTCGTTTTGACAGTTGCACTATAAAATCGCTCCAACGACGTCACGTTTGTATCAGCCGCCTTGAAAGACCCCAGAATTGGGGGGAGAATTCCTGTGAAGTGAGGTTCGTCATTTTGGTGCTGGCCCCTCCAAAAATGGTACGTCTGCTTTCCTTCTGGGCTGGTGTGGGACTTGATCTTCCCTGCCTGGGTGGAGTTTTCCAAGCAGAATCCGTCCCTGATTCCAGTGATGGTGAAAGAACTCCCGTGTGGGACATCATATGAATAGAATAGAAAAGAACAGAACAGAACAGAATAAATATTGGAATGTAGAATTAGAATAGAATAGAATAGAATAGAATTAGAATAGAATAGAATAGAATAGAATAGAATAGAATAGAATAGAATA